CTCCGCCGCGCCAAGTACAAGGCCAACCGCGACAAGTGCGAATTTGTCCGGCAGAGCTGGAATACTTGGGCCATTTTGTCACACCGGAGGGCATCAGTCTGCTATCGGACAAGATTCAAGCCATCCAAGAGTGGTCGGAGCCACGGAACGTCACAGATATTCGTTCATTCCTTGGCCTCGCCGGCTATTGCCAGCGTTTCATCAAGGGCTACTTGAAGATCGCGGCCCACTTGACCAAGCTTCAATGCGAGGACCGGTTGTTTGACTTCGGAGAGGATGCGCGGGAATCATTTTTGGCTCTCAAAGCCGCATTATTATTTGCGGAGGTCTTGCGCATGTACGACCCTCTTTTGCCTACGCGCGTCACTACGGATGCATCCGGCTATGGCATTGGTGCCGTCCTCGAGCAACATGACGGCGTGGACTGGCACTCGGTCGAGTATTTCAGCAAGGAAGTGCCCGTTGTGCATTCCATCGACGATGCACGCAAGAAGGAGCTCCTCGCCTTCGTCCACACGCCCAAGCGGTGGCAGCACTTCCTTCTTGGTCGAAACCAATTCCAATGGGTTCCAGACAACAATCCATTGGTCTTTTACAAGACCCAAGACACCGTCAACTGCACCATCGCTCGATGGATGGCTTTCATCGACCAGTTCGACTTCTTTCCCGATCACATTCTGGGGAAGTCGAAACGTTTTGTGGATGCTCTTTCACGGCGTCCGGATCATTGTACCGCGGTCTACTTAACCTTTGAGATCGACAACGACCTGTGGGACAGCGTCATCCGCGGCTACCAAGCCAACCCCGAGTTTCGCTTCAAGTACACAAATTGCTCATCTCCTACTCCGGCGCCTTCTCATTAACGGATCCAAGAGGGGTACTTGCTTGTCCACACACGGGGGAAGGACCTTCTTTGTGTACCGAGTAACCCTCACTTGCGTACACGGCTTCTTGGCGAGTTCCACGATGCTCCCGCCACCCGGACACTTTGAAGTCAATCGCACAATTGGCCGACTTCGCGAGCGATTTTGGTGGCACGACCTTCTCAGCGATGTCACACACTATTGCGAGTCATGTGAGGTTTGCCGACGTTGCAAATCCCGCAACCATCGTCTGTACGGCGAGTTACGACCATTACCGGTCCCTTTGAGGCGAAGGGAAGCGATTGCCATGGACATTACCGGCCCGTTCCCCAAGCACAAGACCGGAGTGGATGGGATTCTCGCGGTGGTCGATCGACTCACTAAGTTCGCCATGTTTTTGCCTTACCGCTATCATGCCGAGGCATCGGAGTTGGCCGAGGTTCTTTACGCCGGTTGGATTCGAACCAAGGGTTACCCTTAGGAGATCGTCTGCGACCGCGACACTCGGTTCATGTCCGATTTTTGGTTGGTGCTCATCAAACGATGGTGCTCATCTCTCAAGCCAAGTTCGACTCGCCACCCTCAAACAGATGGCCAAACGGAGAGGGCGCATCAGACCGCACAGGTTCTCCTTCGCACTCTCATCCGCCCCGACCAGAAGGACTGGGTTGAGCGGCTGCCGGATGTCGAGTTGGCCTACAACTCCTCTATCCACTCGGCGATCGGGATGTCGCCCTTCAAGTTCGAGCACGGCACGCCGGTCACTTCGCCGTTGGACATTATCACTCCACGAACGGCCGAGAGCGACGACCATCTTCTTTTCTTGCGTTGTATGCAAGAGCTAATTGTCAAGGCACGCGACCAGATGGCCAAGACGCAGCAACGCATGAGCCAATAGGCCAATCGTCAGCGTCTTCCTTGCCCATTCCGCGCCGGCGATCTCGTTTGGGTTTCCGCCGAGGAATTCAGCCTTGAACAAGATATCTCTCGCAAGCTCCTCCCGAAATGGATGGGGCCCTGGCCGATCGTGGCACCCGCCTGGGATGCACCCGAGGTACCTTCCTTCACTATTCAAGTGCCCGCCCACTTGTCCGTCTACCCAGTCTTTCATTGCTCCAAGTTGGCTCTTTATACACCAGCGGAACATGACAAAAATACCCTTGTTAGGGTATTTGCCCCGACACCGCAATGTGATAAAAAGGACTGAATGGACAATGCAATGCAAGTGGAATCTCAACAAGCAATGTGCATTCCGATGCAGTGCTGCTGCCGAATCCTGAAGACTATTGACTGCCTCCTGCCTACCCGTGAAGTGCATGGTTCCTATGTACTAACAGAGCCTGCCTCCGACTGCCTGCAGTTGCAGGGCGGGTAGTCCAGGAGGCTGCTCTTGCCAATGCCAAACTGAGCCAGGGCCTGGCGCAGCAACTGTCGTGGGAACAGGCCAAAAATAGCCTGTTCCTAAAACCCTGGTTTGGTGCCTGAGTTTAAGGGCAGGCTGGTCTGATGAAATACCGAAAATGGCCCTTCGTTTCAGGCTAAAAAGGCTACTGCCATTCTTACTCTGAAACGACACAGGGTATGTAGGCCCCTGTTTTTGAAGCTTTCGAGCTGAACAGACACGGGCCCTGTAGGCCCTGGTTTTCAGGCTTTCAGCCTGAGGGACACAGGGCCTGGAAAATGGCCCTCGTGTGCAAGCGCAGCATGTAACACCCCCCCCTCCTTATGAAGTCAAGCCGGGGCCAGGGCGAAGCTGATGATCTGAAGGTGGAGCCTATACACGGGCGCGGTGTGGAGCCGAAGAGACCGGCTTGCCTTGCATCTTACGTTCGTAGCGTGCGAGAACGCCTGGAGCTGTTGCTTGAAGTTCCGCACGGGTCAACCAACAGTCAGCTCGGTGTGAGCAGTATGCAAAATGTACCAAGTACTCGGTTGGCCTGTTGTCGTAGCGTCGCTAGGAGATGATGTCGCCGACCTCCTGAAAACCATCCATCGAGTGTGGGTCTTGCGAACGTCGCCCGGGTTTTATAAACGTCGGACGTTGTCTGACTTTTTCGTTGAATTGATGAGCTTGATGGGACTGGCGTTTGCCAAAAAGTTTATTCAGACCTGACCTATGACTGTCCAGACGCCTACGGCGTCCAAGAGTAATGGCAGTAAGCGGCAGTGCTTCGCTTTTGTCGAGGCCGCAGGAACGTGCGAACATGGGAACGCTAGCAGTGTTGTCACGCGGGGATCCCGGGGACCTATTCTACCTAAAATAGTGTCGCGCGGCTTAGCAGCCGTGCGATTCAGGGCCATAGGCAGGCAGGGCCGCAAGGCCAGGGCAGGGGGAATAGAGAGGGGGCGAAGCTCTTCTTATAGAAGAGCTGCTCTTATCACTATCGTGATAGGAGCTAGCCCAGTAGGTTAATATACGTGACTCATACCCGACAGGCACCGGGATCGAATCCAGCATGCCGCGCCTCCGGGCTAGCTCCTTTTGGAGCTGCCTTTTCTGAAGGGACACGGTCGATTTCGACGCCCCGATCTTGAAGATCGTGCGGCCGAGATCGGCCGCACGAGTGAGCGTGGCCCCTATGCAAGGATGACACGAATAAATAAAAAAAACAAACAAAAAAAAAAAGCTAACTAAAAACGAAGCGCCAGATGGCACCCCGAGAAGTGACTGGGGCATTCAGCCCCAGGACACCGAACACCGCCTTGAAGAGCGGGCGGCTGTTCGTTTAGAGGGTAAGATCGTTTTACCTTTTTTTTTTTTTTTTTTTTTTTTTTTCCGTTTTTTTTTTTGGTTTTTTTTTTAGATTTTTTTTTTGTTTTTTTTTTTTTTCTTTTTAGATTTTTTTTTTTTTTTTTTTTTTTTTTTTTTTTTTTTTTTTTTTTTTTTTGGTGGTGCCAGAGCACCCGTTCGTTTCGGACGAACGGGTGAGACTGTGCCAAACTATTTCGCCGGACTCGCACCGACTCTTCATGAGGCTGAACCTCGACAGGCTGTCCAGATGCGAATGGATCCACCCTCATTCGTGGATCTAAACACTGCCGTGGAGTGTGTGTGTGTGTGTGTGTGTGTGTGTGTGTGTGTGTGTGAGAGAGAGAGAGAGAGCGGAGGGGAGCGACTTACCTGGCGGCTGCTGCGACGTGACCACGAACAGGTAAGTTTCTTTCTTCTTTCTTTTGTTTTTGTTTTTGTTTTTGTTTTTAAGTGTCCTGGTGTGTCGTGGCTGCGCCCGTCCGACTTCAGGAATGGGCTGCAGCACTTAACAGCGCCCGAACCTGGCACTGTTTGCGGCTGGGTGCGGGCGTGTGTTGCAGTAAGGGGGAGAAGCCCCTGTTGAGCCTGACTCTAGTCCGGCCGAAGTGACCCCTGGGCAGTCTGTTCGTTGCTAAGCAATGGGCTGGTCCTCACAGAGAAACAAGGGGGTAGGTAGGGAAGGAAAAAAATAGTAATAATAATAAGTAACGGCCACGTACATGGCCGCTGGTTCAGGGAAGATGCATGGGGTAGAAAGAGGAAGAAGACTGGAGGAAAAGGAGAGGAAAAATGTAGGGGTAGAAAGAGGAAGAAGAATGGAGGAAAAGGAGAGGAATAATGTAACGGCCACGAATGTGGCCGGGGCCGTGGAACAGGTGCAGCCCCTAGAAGCTTCTAGGGGCTGATGGGACTGCGCTTGTTCACTTGAACAGGCTGCAGAGAATGGCTGGGTGCAGCCATTTCATGGAGCATGTGGCCTGCGGGAAAGGTCAGATGCTTCCGGGAATGGATGACCTTGGTTCCCGTAGGGGAAAACCGAGGCTTTGAGCTCCTGGCCATCGATTTAGATCAAGGGCCAGGAGCTCTGAGGAATTTTTGCTTGGCAGTGGGCAAAGTAGCTGCCCACATGCCTTCATCTGGCTATAAAAGCCAACACTCCACCCAACAGCCTCACAATTGTGGCAGTGCTGCTGGGGCATTCACTTGTGTGATTGCTGGCTGGCTGCTGCTGTGCTGCTGGAGAGGGGCGGTGCTGCCGGTGGAGGTGCTGCTGGTGGAGTGGAGGTCTGCAGAGAGGTGGAGTAGAGTGGAGGATTGCTGTGAGCGCGGGAGTGGAGGCTGCCATAGCCACCACTTCATTTGGTGAAGTGCAGGGAAGGTGCTGTGTGGCATACTGCGTAGCCACACGGGCCCTACAGGGCCCGTCCCGGACATTCAGCCTAAAAGCCTAAAAGTTAGGGCTTACAGGCCCCGTTCGTTTCAGCCTGAAAGCTGAAAAACGAGGGCCTGCAGGCCCGACCCCGTTTCAGCCTATTTCTGGGTCTTTTCAGACCCAGAGTTTTCAGMCTGAAACGGAGGGCCATTTTCAGGCCCTCATTGTTTCGACCTGC